ATACAGCGCGGTGAGCCCAGCCCAAGGCTTCGTTTCTTTGGCGTTACGGTCAGCCTAGCTCATTCTTATATATGTGTGTTTATTCAATTGGACTAATTGTAATTAAATATCAATATTTGTGGACTGGACCATCTGTGTTTACAAATTATTTTAGATTGCTTAGTCGTAGAGATTAATGTAAGCTTGTGTGTGTCAGAGAGTGCCGTTGTACGTATGGGTGAGTGCGGAGGTAATTGATTACTAAGATAGGGTATTCTCCCAGATAGTATAGTGCTCTCTCTGGAATAAACGTGTATACCCAAAGAAAGACCCAGAGAGGGACCCAAAGAGCGAGACCCAGAGAGAGACCCGGAGGGAGACCCAGAGAGAGATTCAGTGAAAGAGATTTAGAGAGAGAGAGAGACTCAGAGAAAGAGACAGAGAATCAGAGAGAGACCCGGAGACAGACCCGAGAGATACTCGGAGAGAGACCCGGAGAGAGACCCTGAAGGAGACTCAAAGAGAGACCCAGAGAGAAAGACCCGGAGAGAGACAGAACTTCCTGACACACGGGGGGCATAAGAAAACAGGTAACATGTACATTACGTAATAGGCAGTCACGTAGCTAGGATGGGTGTCACCCTGTGTGATAAGCTCATGGTGTAACCCCTAAAACCCTCCCCCCTCCCCCGGCTGACATCCAGGATGGATTTCTCCTTGTTCAAATATGTCCACGGTAAATCAATGATAAGAACAAACACACATTTATTGAAGGTCAGGAGGGAGAGGTACCGGGGGTATTTCACAACCGTAACAACGTTAAGTTTTTGTTACTTTTACATGAACATTACCGTACTTTATATTAAAATGTTCCTTTCCTGGTTAGACCGATGAGTGTGTGTTCTGTAAAATGTATTAACATATTTTTTTTCAAATTATTGTTACACCACCCCCCCCCCCCAACCAACACACAGATTGTGTCGCCCGGTGAGATCCCCAAACCCTGCAAACCCATAGCCACCCCATTGGAAACAAGAGCAGGGGAGGGGGGGGGGG